GAATTCAAAAGAAAGCGCTGGAAAAACGTACACAAACTTTGTAAATTTGCCGAAATTTTCGTGAATTCATGCGGGATGTAAGTACCTACCCAAAATGGTGGCGGCAGAAGAATCTGATTGGTCGAGAAAGGTAAACAAAGTATGATAAACCAATCTGATTGGTCGAGAAAGGTAAACAAAGAATGATCGATTCGACATATTTTGAAATGAGAACTGGACATGGAATCAGTGATAGGGATCTCACTTTGGTATTCAACCCATTTTGCTCGCCTTCAATATAGAGTATACTTTATACGTATGCCTAGTTTTATACAATTAATTTTACAAGCACATCTAGCAGTAACATTTCAGTGGTTAGGTGAAACCTGCTTTACGTCTGTCCTAAAACATTAATTTTCACGGCTTTATTTAAACGTTTTCATGGCTCTGCCAAAACGTTTTCACTGCTTTGCCAAAACAATTTTACGGCGCTAACAAAACGTTTTTGCAGCTGCCAAGCAATAAAATTTAAACGACGATTATCATCGAAATTACTCCCTAAAAGATCTATTAATGTTAAATTTGATTTGTGTTTGCTTTGTTGATTACTGTTACTTTTACAATTGAACCAAGCGACAAAATCCGCCAGACATAAATTTTCCAATTTCTTTGGTCTACTCTGGGATCTTTAAATAATGTTATCTGATTCAGTATTAGCAGAATTATCAGGGAGTTCTTTAATTTTATCCATGCTTTTTAATAAGAATATTCTCTCATCTGGGTCAGTTGTATTGATAAATTGGAAGTCTCAAGATGATCGTCTCAAACGTATTTGCATTACTAAGTAGATAGCCTCTTGTGCACTTATTTCAACAGCATTGAGAAATTTGTTACCAATATGTCTCACTTTGTCAAAAATGTTCTTATTGCCTTCTTTTGCTTCTTCACATGTTTTAGGAAGTAACTTGCTCATTCCTCTTTGACCTTTAGTAATATATGAAAGGATATAAACACCGCAAGCGTAAGGATATAACACATACTGAATATCCATATTCACTTTCCATGCTCTGAGTAAGTTTGGATTGTAACAGTTAATTCGTATCTCAGCAGGTGATCGTTTTAATAATAAAGTGTAATGTCTAAGAGAAAGTCTTATAGCTTTTAAGTATTGCTGTTCCGATAGATAAATTTAACTTTTCGAGAAACTCGTCAAAGGTCATGGTTTCATCAGCTTTAATAGAGTTTAATAAAGAATGTATTCATTCTAAAGCTTTCTTTAGTATATCCAAGATATTTCGTCTAGATCAGTTTCAGATAAAGGCTCTAAAATCATTGTTTTTGGCATTGGTGGTAATGCAAAATTAAATCTGCAAACAGCATTTCCTCTTTTCTTGCACGTTTTGGAGTGCTTATGTCTTTGTAAATTTATTAGTTCAGTTAAGCCATCTGAGTCAGTTTTACACAAAATGCAGTTCAGACTTCTTTTGCCAAGTCATTTGTTTAACCTCATTGTCGGTGTAGTCATTTTTGTCAATTAGACGACCAAGAATTTTAATCAAATGAATCCAGTGCGTTTCAGCATCTGAAAATGAACAGAACCATGTAGGTGTCCTAAGCTGACGAATCATTGCAAATAGATCTTTCTTACATCTTTCAAAGTATGCAGGGGAACCGCGTAAATTTCTTAAAACTCTGAATCCTTCATCTAAATTGATTAACTTATTAACAGAACTTTCAGACTTCAAATCTCCTGCTGTGTAAGTTTTACCCTTAGTTTTACATTTACGCAAGGATAAGCTTGCACTTCCTTGAATTTGTTTGAAATGCAATTTTTTTAATTTGTAAAAAAATGTTTGGTACAGACTGAGCAACTCTTCGATCCTGACTTCTTAATTCCCACTTACAAATCATACAATAGTGAACAGGCACTAGTCTTTCACTGTTAGCTTGATGTTTGCCACAATAAATGGGTAGGGAAAGACAGAAATTCAGCATCTTTATCTAAAAATATACCAAGTGGTCTGTTTCCTTCTCTTGGTGCAAAACTGATTATTTTATCACCATGTTGAGTAATGTCAGGTTCTTGTAATAACGTATCCATAACACCTGATAGTCGTTCAGTTACACCACTCATCGTTAGTGTCATTATCAACAGGATTGTTACTTGTTCCTGTGTCTGCTGTTTCTTGATTTTGAGTGTTTACATGATTTGATTATTCTTGTTGTATTCCTTCGTTTTTGAATATTTCACTAGTCCGAACTAAGTATTAAGCTGCTTCTACCACTTTCGTAGGTCTAACATTCTGAAATTGGTAATGGTGTTTATAACCGAGACAACGTTTCAGTTTTATTGGAATAGTTTGTGACTCATTGAATGGTCTTGGTTAAACACTAACGGTTGTGTTAACATCTGCAGGAACATTAACTACATTTCCATTAATACTTCATTGACCTCCACTAGGCAATTCCCGTACCTGCATAAAAGGTATTCTTGGAGAAATTGTCTTTCTTCAAGAGGTGCTAAGTTTTTTAAGACCTCAGGCTTTTCTGGGAAGGTCATTTGTTTGCTTTTTGCACAACTTGGAATTTTACTTTTAAGTTTGAGTGACATGTACCATATATCCAATTCAGTGTTATCAATACTCTTCACACCAGTTAGCTAGTCAGCTATACTGTCATTCAAATTATTTTTTACTTTCTTGTATCTATTAATCATTTTTCCATTTTCACTACAATCTAACTTTCTTTTAGCATATTGTCTTTTCTGGGTATCTTTAACTCTTTCTGGATACTTTTGTTTGTACATAATATTTGGCAATTTTGACGATTTTGCAACCTTTTCAGGATTTAATTTTCTATATGTTGCAGTAGTTGTTTTATTTATTTATTTCACCTTTTCGGGATATCTGTATGTTGCAGTGGATGTCTTAAAACTCTGTTTTGTTTTTTCAGGATTTAATTTTTTTTTATTTTGGCTAAAATTAAACTATTACAAAATTAAAAAAAAATACAAAATTTAAACTATTACTATTACAAAGAATAGATATATACAAGAAATGGGCTAAGAGCCTACTAGAAACCACATGGCTTTTGCTTTAGGCCCCAAGGTTTATTAATTAAGCTATATCAATAAATATAAGCTCGTGTCAGTTCGAGTGTTTTTCAGATAATTAAGGAAAAGAAGTATTATATGATACATATATATATATATATGTATATATATGTATATATATGTATATATATATGTATATATATATATATATATATATATATGTATATATATATATATATGTATATATATATATATATATATGTATATATATATATATATATATATATATATATATATATATATATATATATTGTAGATTTCAAACCGGAACTGTCATAACTTAGTTTAATGTTATGTTAATTAGTTATGTTAATTCGGGGTATAAATAGTTGTTCACTATCACTTTGATCATACGATACAAAGTTCAAGCTATAGTCTCTACAATTCAAGAAGCGAACGATTTTCTACCGGACAAGCAAATTAATCTGTAAGTTTCATGTATGTATTCGTATGGTTTACTTGTTCGTATTCGTATTCATTTGGTTGTATTCGTACCGTACTAATCTTTGTAAATATTTGTTTAGTTGAACCGCTACATGATTAAAATTCTACGAGTTCAAAGTACACGTCTGGTTAAGACTGAGTCTAACATTGTTCAAAGATTAACTAAAACTTTATATCTATCAATTTGGAACCGTCGATTGACAAATTATGCTATCACAGAGCGAAGGATCGCCTAATCAAGAAACAACTAGTTTTGTCGAAGAATCAAGCGAATTTCGGCGATTGAGGCGTTGCCGCTCGGCTGCAAAGGCGAACATAACAAAGAAGATTAAAAGAGCTCACTGAATTGATAGGTAATTGTCAAATTAAAGACGACGCTTTAGCGAAGATAAAGGAATTTGAAGACGTGGCAAGTAAATTCTACACAGCTCATGCCAATTATCATGACATAATTGGCGACGAGTATGATATCCGAGACTCCGAAGAGTATTTGCAAACAGAAACAAGGCGAATCGAGAATTTTTCACGAACTCTGAGCGAGTGGATTTCGAGTTTTGAAGACGAAGTATCAAAGGCGGATCAAGAAGTTAGACCGGGTGATTCAATAAGCAATATTGGACCCTCGCACCGCGATAAAACACGTTCGCTAGCTAGCTCACGTTCGAGAACAGGTTCGTCTACCCTGAGCGCCAGACTAGCGGCAAGAGCGAAGAAAGGCCTCATGTGGAAGCAGAAAGGCAGAACTAGCTAAACAACAAGCTCTACAAAAGGAAGAGCTTCTTTTCAGACAAAAACAACGCCAACAAGAGGAAGAGAAGTTACGATTGGAACAAAGAAAATATGAACTGAAGCTCGACACAGAATTAGCAAAAGCTGAAGCAGAAGAAAGAGTATATGCTGAAGCACTTCATAGCGAAAATCAACCTATGGCAACACAATTTACACCCACAATGGCGAAGCAAGCCGGAGTGAAGCTAGAGAATAAATACGCTCTCGGTCAACAAGCCAAATCAATGCCTAATTCCACACCTTGGTTAAAGTCTACGGAGCAAGCCTTCAACTCTGAGAAAAGAATACAGCCGACTAGAAAGAATGTTGCTACTACAAACCAAGGCCAAACAGAGAAGGGTGATACAGATTCGGACGTAGCAGAGGAATTCTTATACAACGTCGCAGAGATACAGCGACAACAACAGCAACAAATGCATCAGATGTTCGACATGCAACAGTCACGAGACCAGCAATTACATCGGTTACTCGATCAGCACCAAAGGTCGACCTTGGCTATGACCCTGCCTAACGTTCAGGTTCCAACCTTTGCTGGAAATCCAATCGAGTATTGTCACTTTGTACATCTTTCGAGAACCTGATCGAAGCAAAGACAACAAGCGCCAGTGCAAGACTATTCTATATGGTCCAATATACGAAAGGTGAGGTGCAAGAGCTTGTTCGAAATTGCTTAACTATGGATCCAGAAGAAGGATATCTTAAGGCAAAGAAGCTTCTGAAAGACAACTACGGACAAAACTACAAGATTGCGGCTGCATACGTGGACCGGATCACCCAAGCATCGCCAATTAAAGCAGAAGATGGCGTAGGCTTACAGAAGTACTCCGTGCTACTGGCTAGTTGCAGAAATACCTTGAAGGAGATCGGATACATTAGCAGAGTGGAAAATCCTGAAAGTTTGGTTAAACTAATTGGGAAGCTACCCTTTTCTCTGAGACAGAGATGGCGAGAAGTTGCCGATAACATCACTACCCAGAAATCAAGAGAGATAACCTTTGATGATGTTGTTGAGTTTGTTCAAGCAAGGTCGAGAGTTCAGAACCACCCAATCTTCGGAAAATTGAACAACGACTCACGAAGTAGACCAAGTGAACCTTTAGGTTCTAGGGGCAGACTGAACTTTCAAATTGATGGTAAGCTAGGTGATGAAGGAAAAAAGGAATCAAAACCCTACAAATGTTCCATGTGTAATGGAGATATTCTGCCACGATGTATTCATTTTAAGAAAGAGTCCCTAGTGGGTCGTCTTAAGTTTGTTCGCAAAAGAGGACTATGTGACAACTGCTTGTTTCAAGGACATGTCGCAAAGTCCTGTCCAAAGCCCAGTTTCTGCAAGGTAGCCGGCTGTCAGTTCAAGCACTCAACATATCTGCATCCAAGAAGCGGAGACAGCGGTGTGGACAAGTCGTGTGGTCCTGATAGCCCAAATGAATCAACTGATCGATCAGGTGATGAAGGATGCGCCAACAATGGAGCGCGAAATGGTTGCGTTAGTGCTACCCAAACTGAATGTGGTGTCATCGGGGCCGGCGTCTCTACAACAGGGCTACCATTGGTCCCTGTGAAAGTGAAATGTGCTGGCTCGTTTCGAGTGGTGCTGACATATGCGTTCCTTGATCCTGGTTCTAACACGACATTCTGTTCAAATGAACTGTTGGAGCAACTTGGCATCACAGGAAAGAAAACAACATTATCTTTGACAACCCTACAGAACGTACAGCAGACGACCAGATGTAGTGTGACCAGTTTGGAAGTTTGGGATTTAAACGAAGAGAACTTAGTGGAACTTCCTACTGTTTTCTCGACCGAACGGTTACCTGTCGATAGATCTAGCATTCCGCTTCAAAAGGATGTTGACAGATGGCCTCATCTCAGAAACGTAAACGTACAGGAAATCGATGCCGCCGTTGGCTTACTAATCGGGAATGATGTACCAAAGGCATTGGAACCGAAGGAAGTCAGAGAGAGCAGTGGCGCAGGACCGTACGCCGTGAGAACAGTTTTCGGTTGGACGATAAATGGCCCGCTTGGAAGAAATAAAACGGCTCGTCGTTGCGCGAACTTCATTCGATCTGATCATGACCTAAATGAACAGTTTCAAACGTTCTGCAATATGGAGTTCAACGACTCTGTATATGACACAAAACTGGAGATGTCGGTAGAGGATTCTCGTGCTCTTGGCATGATGGAAGGCTCGGTTCAGCTAAAGGACGGACACTATGAAGTGGCTTTACCATGGAAAAATTTCCCGCCACGTCTGCCAAACAATCGTCCATTAGCGGAACATCGCCTGAACCTTTTAAAGAAGAGGCTTCTCAAAGATCCTCAACTGCTTTCAAAGTATTCAGAATTCATGGATAACATGCTAAGCAGGAAGTATGCTCGCAAGGTCCCTGAGAGTTCGATAACCCAACCTAAGTTACCTTTATGGTACTTACCCCACCATCCCGTAATCAATTCAAATAAGCCCAGCAAAATTCGCGTGGTTTTCGATTGTGCAGCAGTTTTCCGCGGGACGTCACTCAATAGTCAACTATTACAAGGTCCAGATCTAACAAACAGTCTTGTTGGAGTTTTAATTCGCTTCCGAACGGATCCTGTGGCCTTGATGGCGGATATAGATGCTATGTTCCACCAAGTCCGCGTTACACCAAGCGACTATGACGCATTACGATTCCTCTGGTGGCACCAAAATGATCTTGATAAAGAACCCCAAGAATTCCAGATGATGGTTCACCTTTTCGGCGCAACGTCCTCCCCGAGTTGTGCGAATTTTGCACTCCGAAGAACCGCCGAAGACAACTCAGACGACTTTGGTGCTGAGATATCAGATATAGTAAAACGGAACTTCTATGTGGACGACTGTTTAAAGTCTGTTAAAGATGACGAAGTGGGCATCAAAACGGTGAGCTGTTTGACCCAGTTGCTAGCCCGGGGAGGATTCCACTTGACGAAATGGGTTTCAAATTCAGCAAGAGTGATTGCGTCGGTGCCTGAAGATGAAAGATCTGGATCTGTAAAGGCTTTGTGTTTTGGCCAACCAACGGTTGAACGAGCACTAGGAGTTAAATGGGATGTCGCGAGCGATCAGTTTGGATTCAAAGTAATCATCAATGAGAAGCCATCAACTCGAAGAGGGATACTTTCAGTAATCAGTTCAGTCTATGACCCTCTTGGGTTCGCAGCCCCATTTATTCTTCCCGTGAAGATATTGATGCAACATCTGTGTCGACGAAAGTTGGGATGGGATGACCTAATTGAGCCCGACGATATGGCACGCTGGAACACTTGGTTGAAGGAATTGCCAAAGATCGAACAGCTTCGCGTCCCAAGATGTATCAAATCCTACTACGTCAATCCAATAGTTCAGACGCAGTTACACAGTTTCGCAGACGCTTCGCGACGTGGATATGGGGCAGCGAGTTATTTGCGCTTTGAAGATTCGAAAGGTAACATCCACTGTTCGTTCGTGATGGCTAAGTCAAGAGTGGCTCCTCTAAAGGAAACAACCATTCCACGACTGGAATTATCCGCTGCTGTGGTTGCGACAAGACTCGACAAGATGATACGAAACGAAATCGATATTGAAATCCATGCTCCATCTTTTGGACAGACAGCACCTGTGTTCTGGGGTATCTGAATAACACAAGCAAGAGATTCCAGACATTTGTTGCGAACAGAGTTGCCACCATTCATGAAACAACCACGCCTGAGCAATGGAGACACGTGACCAGTGAAGAGAACCCGCTGATGACGCCTCACGAGGATTATCTGCAGATTCCTTGTTACGCAGTAATCGTTGGTTGAATGGTCCCGAATTTTTATGGAAACCAGAGAATTATTGGCCATGTCAAATCAACCTGGCCGTTGCAGTCAGCGATGACGACCCAGAAGTCAAGAAGAATGCCCAAGCCTTCTCTATTGAAGATAGTTCACACGCCACAGTTGAAGGAATTATCGAGAGATTTTCGTCATGGGAGAAGCTGAAAAGATTCGTTTCATGGATACTTCGATATCGTGCCAATTTATCGAAGGCTGTCATGAGAGCTAAGACTAACAGAAACTCGGATATTTCGACTCCAGACTTCAGACCACTCGACCTGGATGAAATGCAGCATGCAGAAAAGGAAATTTTAAAATATATTCAAGGAAGAAGCTTTCAAGAGGAGTTAGCTCGTCTTAACTCCGTTGATGACCAGTCAGCAAAGTCGTTGAAAGGCCAAGTTAAGAAAACAAGTCCCATCTACAAACTTGACCCTCGGTTGAAGGATCAACTCTTGCGAGTCGGAGGACGCCTAACGAATGCCCCCATCTCGGAGGAACGGAAACACCCCATCATCCTACCAAAGAATTGTCACATTTCCACCTTGATTGCAAGGTATTACCACCGGTTAGCGGGCACAGTGGTTTAGAACATGTTCTGTCCTTGATCAGAGCGCGCTACTGGATGATCGGAGCGAGGAAGACCTTAAAAAAGATGCTAAACAGCTGTGTGGATTGCAAAAGAAGACAAGCAGCAGCAGGTGAACAAAAAATGGCGGACCTCCCAGAGCATCGAGTCACGCCAGATAAGCCGCCGTTTACCTTCGTTGGGGTGGACTGCTTTGGTCCATTTGTTGTGAAAAGAGCACGTAGCCTGGTGAAGAGATATGCCGTTTTATTCACTTGCTTAACCATCCGAGCTGTTCACATTGAAGTGGTGCAAAGCCTCGATACCAGTTCGTTTCTCAACGCATTGCGTAGATTCATCGCCAGAAGGGGACAACCTGAAGTCATTAGATCTGACAATGGCACTAATTTTGTCGGCGGAGAAAGAGAAATTCACAGTGCAATCGATGATTGGAACCAACAGAAAATTCAACGATTCCTCCTGCAGCAAAACGTCAAGTGGATCTTTAATCCTCCCTCAGGATCTCACCATGGTGGAGTTTGGGAGCGCTGCATCCGAACTATATTGTTGGCCCTTTTAAAGCAACAGACTGTGGATGATGAATGCCTTACAACTGTTATGTGCGAGGTTGAATCCATTATGAACAGCAGACCATTGACAAAGGTATCTGACGACCCAAATGACCTAGAAGCCTTGACGCCAAATCATTTGCTTCTTTTACGCCCGGGACCATCGCTACCCCCAGGAGTTTTCCAAGAAGCTGATTTGTATTGTAAACGTCGATGGAGACAAGCTCAATATCTCTCGGATGTTTTTTGGCGCCGCTGGCTGAAGGAATACTTGCCAGAATTGCAACGCCGTCAGAAATGGGTTAATGCTCGTCGCAATTTTTCTGTAGGTGATATTGTTTTGCTCGTTGACGAGAATACACCAAGATCGTCGTGGTTGCTTGGTCGAATCACGAGAGTGAAACCGAATTCGAGAGACGGCTTCGTGAGAAGAGTAGTTTTAAGAACGAAACTTAACACCCTGGAACGCCCTGTGGACAAGATTGTCCTCTTGGAAGCATCAGAATGCACTTGATTGTTGAAGAGGACATCGTCATGTCGATTGGTTATCGATTACGGTTAAAATCTTTATATACTGTTTAAATGTCGCCTTATACAACATTTCGGGGCCGGAATGTAGATTTCAAACCGGAACTGTCATAACTTAGTTTAATGTTATGTTAATTAGTTATGTTAATTCGGGGTATAAATAGTTGTTCACTATCACTTTGATCATACGATACAAAGTTCAAGCTATAGTCTCTACAATTCAAGAAGCGAACGATTTTCTACCGGACAGGCATATTAATCATGTATGTGTTTCATGTATGTATTCGTATGGTTTACTTGTTCGTATTCGTATTCATTTGGTTGTATTCGTACCGTACTAATCTTTGTAAATATTTGTTTAGTTGAACCGCTACATGATTAAAATTCTACGAGTTCAAAGTACACGTCTGGTTAAGACTGAGTCTAACATATATATATATATATATACAGTCATTCCCAAAAAGGTTGTCCGGACATATATATATATAAATACATAAATATCGCGCACGTGACCGCTAAAGATATGCATCAACTCGCGCGAAGTTTTGCGTGATAATTGCGAGTTTGGCTATGGTGGTCGTTGCTTACTTCCCTAAAATGCCAAGACCGTATTCAGATGATTTGCGCTGGAGAATGGTATATCAACGTATATTTTTTGAAAGAAGTTACGATGAGGTTGCATCTCAGTTATTTGTCTGCCCCAAAACTGTTTACCGAACAGTTAGCACTTTTCTTGCCACGGGTGAGGTGAAACCATGCCATCTTGGTCGCCCAAACGGGAGCACAACTTTGTTTCCTCATGAAGAGTACATTATCATGGACTGCCTTCTGCGAACACCTCAAATACAGCTTAGCGAATTAGCAAATTACATTATCAACGCTACTGGCTCTGCTTTTGGTCCACAGATGTTGTGTCGTGCACTCTACAGGAGTACAGGCTTGGGATAACACGCAAGAAGGTAAACATGAATATATAATAATATTTTGAGACTCTATATAGAATCCGTTTCTAGCCATTATACCTTCATGAAATAAGGTATAAAACATATACTCTCGAATACAACTTCCATCTTCAACACAATATTTGAAAAAAGAACGGAGAGTATAAGGTTCAATAGCAGTATTTCGAATTTATTATATAGTACCAAATATTCCGTAGCTATATTTACTCCGAGCGATGATAAATTTGTAATAACTTTGAGATTCTTTATAATATACAGAAGTTTCATGTTTTCCATGCTAATGTTGGCTATAAATCTCAAACAATAATTATTGCAGCTTAATTTTCAACTTTTCAAAAGCAATTTCTTTTGCAGATACACCGAATTGCCATGCAACGGAACGATGACCTGAGGCAAGAATTCAAAGCAGAAATCAGCGTTTTGCATCCAAACCAACTTGTTTTCCTTCACGAAACACGAATTGTATGTATAGAAATTATTAGGCTGTACCCTTTTCTAAAACCCTGCTAGACAAGCTGTATATATTCACTTCTTCCTTTCATGTATAGTTGTGTTTTGTTTTTGTTTATAAGCTAGGATAAACGAATTGCTCGACAGTTCGGATATAGCGCTCGTGGAACACCTGCTATTGTTAAGGACTTTAGCTATGCACGATGGGCGCCTCATTATTTGGCAATTTCAGCGATTTCGAGTGACGGGCTTCTCGCTAACGGCTTGCTAAAGAATGCAGATGAGAGATTTGACACTCACTCTTTTATACGGTTTCTTGATGAGCAGCTTTTACCAGCAATGAATGTGTTCCATGGGGAAAACCCGCGATCCGTCCTCGTAATGGGTGAGAATCCAATTAATATACGCGTGCATGTGTATTTCCGCAATGTCTCAAGGGACTTTACAGACTCGTATTATACACAAACTAAGGGGGCATGCAGACAACAATTCTTTGAGGTTAGTATGCCAACTATACCCACCCAACTACATCTATAGGTAGTTTATAGATAAGATGAGAAATGCGTGCAAGGTAGATTATGATTTTATGTGCCATTCGTCAATAACATGTTTCTCCTATTTTTACATGCAGATAACCATCCAGTGCATCATGCCCAAGAAGTGATCGATCACATTTATGACTCAGGAGTAATTATCCGCTTTTTACCACCATACAGTCCTGACTTGAACCCAATCGAAGAGGCTTTTGCCAAAGTGAAACACTACTTACAACAGAACGATTTAGTATTGCAATCAGTGCGAGATCCTAGCCGTGATATTTAAAGTTTAAATAACAACAATACCACCATTTGGTTGTAACCTCATTCCCACTGCGAGTTGTTAGATTAAAGTTGTTTAGAGTATAGGGCCTTTATATCAAGTTAAATTATAGACAATTTCGGTTTATATTTTTTTATGTACGCCACAACGCCGGGCAAAAGCCTTAGTAGCGTTGATAATGTAATTTGCTAATTCGCTAAGCTGTATTTGAGGTGTTCGCAGAAGGCAGTCCATGATAATGTACTCTTCATGAGGAAACAAAGTTGTGCTCCCGTTTGGGCGACCAAGATGGCATGGTTTCACATCACCCGTGGCAAGAAAAGTGCTAACTGTTCGGTAAACAGTTTTGGGGCAGACAAATAACTGAGATGCAACCTCATCGTAACTCCTTTCAAAAAATATACGTTGATATACCATTCTCCAGCGCAAATCATCTGAATACGGTCTTGGCATTTTAGGGAAGTAAGCAACGACCACCATAGCCAAACTCGCAATTATCACGCAAAACTTCGCGCGAGTTGATGCATATCTTTAGCGGTCACGTGCGCGATATTTATGTATTTATATGTATATGTCCGGACAACCTTTTAGGGAATGACTGTATATATATATATATATATTTACAAAGACGTGTTATATTGTTAAGTCTAGTTGTAAAAAGTACTTTTTAATTATTTCGAAGGAAGCATAAGACCTGGGTTTTTTATATTTTGTGGGAAGATTATTCCATACTTATTATTCTTTTTGTGTAGCAATGAGGAATTTCTTGTGTTATGATTATGAGTTTGCTTATTCGTCAAAAAATAGTTTATGAATACTTCTGGTAGATTCTGTAAATAAAAATACCGGATCATTAATAAACTTGTTAAATAATCATTTATTTTATATAAATTGAGTATTTGTAAGTCATTAAAAATTGGTT